TGCTTATGCTCCTACTCATCTTGTTCTTCTTGCTCACCTCGTTGCTTATCTCCTTGCTCACCTCTTGCTCACTCTCATTGCTTATCTACTTGTTCTCCTTGTTCACCTTCTTGCTGTTCTGCATGCTTGCTGTCCTTCTCACTCTCCTTCCCCAGCTCCTTATTCTCCTCCTTGCTCACCTCCCTGCTAACTCTCCTTGCTCATGTCTTTGCTTGTTCTCCTGGATCACCTCCTTGCTCAACTCACTGTTCTTTTCCTTGCTCACCCTCCATCTTCACCTCCTTACTCACCTCCTTGCTGTCTCCTTACTCCTTTGCTCACTCTTCTTGCTATCCTCCTTGCTCTCTGCCTTGCTCACCTTCTTCACTTCTTCTTGCTGTCCTCCATGCTCTCCTCCTTGCTTACTCTCTTTGCTCTTTTCCTTTCTCACCTCCCAGCTCTCCTTGCTTCCTACACTCCAGCCCCAGTTGGTCTTGTCATTCCTTGAGCAGTAACGCTCCCACTTAAAGCCTTTGCACTGTCTTTTTCCTCTTCCTGAATTGCTCTTCCCCCACATATCATGAGGTTTCTTCCTTTTCTCTCTCCTACGCTTTCTTCAGGCATTCACTAAAAAGTCGCCCTTTCAGTGAGGCCTTTTGTGATCACTCTAAATTCCATCTCCCAACAGGCTTTCACATTTCCTTCCCTACTTTATGTTTTCTTGTCAGCATTATACAACGCGACATTATAGTTGTCTAATTTACTATACTTTATACTTATCTAATTTACCACCCATCTGCCCAACCAGAATGAAAGCTGTACAAAGACAGGGATATTTGTCTGCTTTGTTCACTACGCTATACCCAGCACTAGAATAGTACCTGCCATATAGCATGAACTCAGAAATATTGGTTGCATTGATAGACAAATGCATGCAAAGGTGGATGGATGAATAAACAATGGAAACAAAAACTTGACTCAATTAGTAGCTACACCATGAATGACAAGATGAAGACATTCATTAATAAAATGGTATCCCTATGCTTTCCTTTTGTTTGTCTGCCTCTTCCCCCTCTATATGTCTCATTTACCTCAGTTTCCCTCTGTCCATATCTGTATGTGTGCCTGTGTGTGTCTTTTCTTCCCTTTTTATTTTGTGTCATTTCTTGTAGACTTCGTTATATCTTTCTTCCTCTGTCCATGTAGTCTCCATTTAGTAGTACAAAATAAAAGTTAGAACTGAAATTTATTTTACTATTAAGGATGCATCCAGGAGACAGGTCTAAACTTATCTTTAAAGATGACTGTAAGGGCTTCAGTATTTAAAGGGGAAAGGACAGATATTGGGGAAAGAGGAAGTAATTTTTAAAAGGTGTGGAAAAATAGGCAAGCAGTGGCATTCTTTTGAGTCTTTGATAAGCCCTTCACCTGTGAGAGGTAGGTAGAGAAGTAGTCACTTATGCATTCATCTGGTTCAATTAATCTACATTTTTATATAATATAAACATAAGGCAGAGGAAGAAATTCGATATGTATTTGTCTCAGGTGAGCAGAGGGATGACTGAATTCTTCCTTTTGTCCCATACCTGTAAAGATATGCTATCAATTTACATGATCAGGATAAAGATCGTGGTGATGTACTGTGAAGACGGAGGAGAGAGTTACAAGCCAAGCAGTACAGGTGGCATGTCTAGGTTAAGATAGGAGTTGTGGCAACCAAGATTCTCATTATATGCGTAAAGCCTCAAAGGTGGCTGCCCTTAGAGACAAGAGATGGCAAATGTTTCTTTTTCAGACCATTAAAACCTGCTGGGCTCTTAGCCAGTCTCTTCAGGACCAGCAAAGGACCTGGAAAGGGAAAAGGGTTCTCTACAGAATACAAATTTGCCCCACAAGAGACAGCTTCTCAGGGCCTTTTCAGACCACATCAAAGAAATTTATACTGGGGCAAAATTCTTCAATTTCCTTTAGGACCTGCTATCTGTTTTGTAATGCTTTCCTTGAGACAGGTGGAAATTTGGTATCTTATCACTACAACGAGTCTGTTCTGTAAGTATTAAGATCTCTGTTTTAATGTTAATGCTGCTTGGTTGGGCCTGAATTCCAAACACAGGAGAGTATCACACTTCCTTCTCATCCTGGCCTGAGTTAGTTTTTCAGGTTTCTTTGGAATCCCCTTGGCCATGATGAGGGATCTATTTAGTTAGTTGGCTGAGAACCTTAAATTTTATTTTTGGTTTACACTTTCGTTACAAGAATTGTTAAATAATAATAATAATAAAATAAACATTTGTTTGCAAACAGATGGGTTACGTGGTAGCCTAATTATTGCCCTCCAAATAAGTGCATATCCTCAGAACCTTTGAATGTCATTGTTTTATTTTTGTTTTTATTTTTTAATTTTTCTATTTACTTATTTATTTTTGAGGCAGTGTCTCCCTGTTACCCTGGCTGCAGTGCAAGGCTGCAGTCTCAGCTCACTGCAACCTCTGCCTCCTGCTCAAGTGATTTTCCCACGTCAGCCTCCCGGGTCGCTGGGACAACAGGTGCATGCTACCACACTTGGCTAGTTTTTATGGGGTTTTTTGTTTTGTTATTTGGAAAGATGAAGTTTCGCCATGTTGTCCAGGCTGGTCTCAAACTCCTGGGCTAAAGCCATCTGCCCAACTTGACCTCCCAAAGTTCTGAGATGACAAGGGTGAGCTACTGCACCTGGTCATTTTATGTGGTGAAAGAGACTTTGCAGATGTGATTAAGACGTTGTGATGGTAACATTATCCCAGATTACATGGGTGGGCCTAGTGTAACTACGAGAGTTCTCATAAGAGCGAGGAAGGAGGAGTTAGGGTCCTGTGATCATGGAAGCAGAGAGTGGAGTGATGTACTTTGGAGATGGAGGAGGGGGTTACAAGCCAAGCACTAGAAACCACTACAGGCTAAAAAAGACAAGGAAATGGATTTTCCCTTCAGAGGCTCCAGAGAAACCAGCCCTGTTCACTTCAGTTCAGTGCAATTCTTTTCAAATTCTAGCCTCCAGAACAATAAAGGAATGAAGTTGTTTTCTAAGTCACTACTTTTGTGGTAATTTTTATGGCAGCAGTTGAAATCTGATACAGGCTATGAAAAAAATGAACAAAGAATTATGTTACCAATGTCTAAATTCCTACAAGTAATAAACTGGGCAGCTTGATTATTTCACCTCCAGGTAGATTGATTCAAATCCCAACTCCACTCTTTACTAGTTAAACAAGTTAGTAACCGCTTTGTGCCTCAGTTTCCTCATCTATAAAATGGGAATAAAATAGCTCAATACTTATGTGTTGGGACTTTTGTGAGGATCAATTGAGTTAATACATGTAAAGCACTGAGAACTGTGGCAGGTATGTAGTAATCCCTCCACAAATGTTGGGAAATGTTTGTCATTGAAAGTCAACTTTCTTCTTGTGAGAGAGAGAAGAAATTAATTCTTACTCACTGATAATCAGAGTACTGCAAAGACCCATATATCACCTCCCAGATCAACTCTGGACATGCAACAGCTGAAAACAATATGCAAATACCTGAAAGCTCCATGTCTAACATGCAGGTTGCTTTCTAATATTTCCATTAAAGAAGAGTAGCCTCACTCCCCCAAATGAGGTAAGAGGGTTGGGATTTAGATATCACCATGAATCTGCAGTTTCTGTTCTGGAAAAATCGGCAAAAGGAGTCAAAACACTTCCCAGCAGGGGTGGTCATGCAGCCTTGATGATAGAAGCTGGCTAAACTAAGGGTCCCCCTTTTATCTGGCTCAGAGCCCAAGTGAACTGGGTTGTTCTAAACTCCCTGACCAATTCAAGCACGCAGAAATCTTCCCTTTCAGGCAAACGACAGGAATAACTCACGAGTTTCAGGGTGTTTCTTGAGACTGTGCTTCTTAGATGGCAACTGGCAAGAAAACCCTTTTGGCTGGTCTCTGCCTTTTAGCCTCCACTCCTCTCGTTGCAGTTAAGATAGATTAGTGAGGACAGGCTAACAGGTGTGCCCTAACCCTTCGTATTTCAGAGAGTTAACATGTAGGCATTTATTTATTGCCCACATAAGGGTCCACTGGGCGTTCACAGTTGGGACACTACTTAGGTGGATCTCCTCCAAGTAGCAACTTAAGGACCAGTCTTCTCTATACTGAGTCTTAGCCCTCCTCAGAAAGTCCATCCCATGCAATCAACAGATGCAGAAAGAGCATAAAGGGCCGTGTCTGAAAGGGTTCCATGGGTCTGGGTACTGGAGAAGGGTGCTCACTTTGGCCCACATATAGCTCAAAAATTGCTGAGAGATGTGGTCTGGTGGTGTCCCAGAAATTTGGAGAATCAGGGGTCCATCTGAGCCTCCCACAGGGTTACTTAGGTGTGAGATCAGCACCATAAGAACATCATGCAAGTTTGAATCCTGTAAAAGCTTTTCCTCGCCTGGACCCCCACCTTGTCACAGACACTTATGAAATGTTGCTGTGGCTGCCATGGTTCCAAACTCTGCCTTGTGAGGACACAGCCCTCTTGGCTCTCAGTGTATGCACCTTCATCTTTTAAACTTGGCATTTAAAACAACCTTCACAGACAACCTCTGCCTGCATCCTTTATCCTGATACCTACCCATCCATCTTTGAAAGCAGAGGTATCCAGAGTATATGGCAAGGATTTCACACACAGGATTCTGAGGTTGGGGAGAGTTCATTATACCTGCGATTTTGCAGTCTGTGGGAAAGGACCCTCCTGGGACCTGAATGGTTCATTCAAAATAATTTTCCCTAGCAATGCACAGCTAAGGATCAAGAGTGGGAATTGAGAATATCAGGAAACAGGTGCATCCCAGGATGTGTGGCTGAGGTTACAGTGCAATTCATACAAGATGGCAGCACAGGGAGTCGTATAGCTGCCATTTAGACTTCCCCCGAAATGTACTTGGGTTGAAGAAGGAAGCCACTAGAAGAGTGAATGGGGTCTTTTTTAACCTAAAATACAACCAAGTAATTACACACACACTTCTGGACATATCGGCTTTTTAATTCTCTGATGCTGTGGGTAGGCAGTGTTGGGGAGGAAGACATTCAAGGTATCCAACTTTTAAAGGTTTATAGAAGTATTTGGAAATGTTTGTAGATGGGTTTGGAAGTGCCTAAGAGATCAAAGCAAGACTTTCAGCAGAAAGAGAGCAGTCAGAATTGATGAGATGATGGATGTCAGCTGGGGGCTTCCACTACTGAGGTTCGTACAGAAGGTACGGATTTTTACATTATTTATCACTTCCACATCCTTCAAGTTGCAGGCAGTTTCAGTTGCACAACCCATGCCAAATACTGATACTTGACTGTTATCTGCAAAGAGAAAGATCCAGGTTTAGACTTGTCTCTCATCGTGTCTCCCCTCCTCATCCACATCCTCAGGTCAACCTACCTGCTTCGCTTGTGGAAGAAAAGGGTGTGCAGAGTGCCCCAGAATTCCTGACTTCTGCCTTCTGTATGAGAGGCATCAACAGTTGCACCAGCTCCATCCAGGGACAAAGCCTTATTTCCCTATGGTTCATAGGGAAATATCTCTCCAGTTTAGGAGAGACCCCTCAGGGACCTTGCTATCTCAGATGGACGACTGAGACTGTGGCCTTTGGGTCCTGACTAAGGGAGGGATTGTTGACATAGGGAAAAACACTAGCAAGAAGTCAGACCTCATGCATTTGGCTAAAATATTTCTGTGCAACTTGTCCTCCTCCTTCCCTTTGCTTTCTTTGGAAAACTCAAAGTGAAATAGCACATTCCTCTCAAGATTATATCTCTTCTCCCCAGGGCTCTAAGTTTCTTGGGAGATTAGCACTGTGTAATCTCATTGTATGCCTGTGCTACCCCCATGATACAATGGAGTAGAGAGACTGCCTCACTTTCAACAGCTCCAACCCTCCTCTATATCCTACATGACACCACATTTTTCTCAGTCACCTAAACACATCTAGACAAAGGGCCCTTCACCTGCTAGTACTAGACCCTCCTTTGAGATCTTCCTCTCTTCCTCTCCAAAGAAAGCACAACACATCTCTTTTCCCACTAAATTATCTCTCCCATCATTTAATAGCTCCTAAAGCACCACTAATTCCAGGAAACCTCTTACAAATTGATCAGAGGAGAACTGACAGTACCCCATCCAACTGTACAGACTAGAAAGAAAAGTATTATGACTGAATGGAACATGTGCCCTTCACCACAGATATACTTTTTCCCTACTGAGGAAAATTACAAATCATTCCACAGATTTCAGAATGACACCTTGCAAAAATTAAACGCTTTATCATGGGGTTTGGTAATGGTAATAATGGTAGTGATAATAGCCAGAACTGAGGTGCCGTCACCCCCTTCATTGCCAATGAGCCAAGAGTTGATTTCAGGACATCATAGTGATAATGTCCTCCTCAAGCCTAAGTCCTAGCTATGGGAAGCAATTGTGTTTTCTGTTCTCCTCTCTTCCCTTTTCCTTTTTTCTCCTTCCAGACGTCTCCTTCCAAACTTTAGCAGGATAACCAAGCACCTGACCCTGTAGTGCACCTGGTATATGTGCTCATCAGCCTCTAAGATAATCCCCAGCGGTTCCCATCCCCTGGCATTTGTGCACTTGCATAGACCTCTCCCATGTTGTGTCCGACTTGTGACGAAGAGTGCAAGTGGAAGTGGTAATGTGTCACTTCTGAGATTAGATTATTAAAAGCTATAGTTCCACCCTCTCTCCTGTTATCACTTATTCTGGGAGAAGCCAGCTGATAGGTCATGATCAAACTCAGGCACCCATGAGGCTCAGAGGAGAACAAAGGCCTGCCAACAACCATGTGAACCAGCTTGAAAGCAGACCCTTCATCTAAATGACCATAGCCCTATGACACCTTAACTTCCACCTCATGGGAGACCCTGAGCCAGAACCACCCAACTACGCCACATCCAGATTCCTGACACGCAAAAACTGTAAAATAATAACCCTTTGTTGTTTTCAGCTCTAAATTTTGGGGTAACTAGTTATCCAGCAATAAGTGGGTAATATACTACAGGAAAATGAACACCAGGATGCTATGGATACCTGAGCCTGTAAACACAACACAGCTTTTCTCTTCCCCTTGACAGGCGAGGGAAGTCTGTTTACAGGTAGAATCACTTTCACCGTAGCAGGTAGGACAGACAACGCCATTGGGATCTGAGGACTTCCGAGCCACTGAATGAAGAGAGAAAAATTTCATCTTAAGGAATAGGCAGACAAAAGAAAAAAGATCATGGTTATTCTAGGATTTCTACACACACACACATACACACAGACACACAATTACAACGAGGATGCCATGGGAGGAGGGAGGAGGATTGTAGGTATTAGATGTTTCCATGTAAAGTAATAAAAAAACATTTTATAGGAACTGAGTGTTATTTTCCCTTTCCATGAATCACCCCCTGTCTGCCCTAGCTGGAGAAAAACATTTGAAGAATGGTAGAGAAGATTTAATCTGTAGTCTAAGAAGATACTATTGATGGAGTGAGGAATTAAAGAGATGAGGAGGCCAGGTGCGGTGGCTCACGCCTGTAATCCCAGCACTTTGGGAGGCTGAGGCAGGCGAATCACAAGGTCAAGAGATCGAGACCATCCTGAGCAACATGGTGAAACCCTGTCTCTACTAAAAAAAAAAAATACAAAAATTAGCTGGTCATTGTGGCACGCGCCTGTAGTCCCAGCTACTCGGGAGGCTGAGGCAGGAGAATTGCTTGAACCAGGAGGCGGAGGTTGCAGTGAGCTGAGATCATGCCACTGCATGCCAGCCTGGCGCCTGGTGACAAAGCAAGACTCAGTGTCAAAAAAAAAAAAAAAAAAAAAAAAAAAGATGAGAAAGGGCAAATCTTTCAGCTGGAATAGGAGAGAAAATTATTTAAGTCTACAGACTCACATTTAGGGAAAATCCCCAGAACCAATCACTGTCACCCACCATCACTTGGTCTCCCCTGCAGGAGAGGGACTTCTATCTATGATGCCCCACAAGGAGAGCTGCACGAAGAAGGACAGGCAGTTGGCAGGTGATAGCAGTGGGTGTCTCGGAAGCAGAGAGATGGGCTGTGGACGGGTTCTTAGAAGGGAGAGGCTGAGACCAGTGGATTGGGAGCAGGAGCAGGAAGGGAGGAGAGCACAGAGCTGGGCTGGGCCTCACCTTGGAGGTCCGCTTGGTTACAGTTGTCAGTGTCACAGCACTGATGGCTATACCCAAATGTGATCTTGTCCCCCAGTGTTGCCGAGAAGGCCAGTTGTTGACACGAGCTTAAACAGCCTTTCTGCAGGATGGTCTGCCCTGCACAGAACCAAACACCAAGAAATTTCTCTCTCAGGCACAGAGGCAGTGATGCCCAATGGGCAGCCAGTCCCCACTCCATTGTCTTTAGTCTTTCCACGTCTCCAAAAGGCTGCTCTGGCATTGGCCCATTTCACAGAATAAACCAATGGAGGGACAATAGGTTAGAATTTGCTAAAAAGGGAGTGTCATTCCTCAATGGTCCCCAACAGATTGATGTATGGGCCCGGAACACCCAGACCTTTCCCTGGACACTCTGTGTTTGGCACAGCACCCCCTCCCTGCCACCTCCTGCCACCCCACTCTCCCAGCCCCATACTGGCAAGACATTATTTTAGGAAGAAAGGATGAACTAGACAATACATGAAGGAATGAGGAGATACATCAAGTCTCTGAACACACTAACCCTCTCACACTAAGTACCCCCTTTGTCTGCCCTGAGTGTCCAGCAGCTTGGGCAGGGTGGCTGGTGGGGCCTACCTGGTGTTGTACTATTAAATTGTTTCTTGATGCTGAAACAGCTTACATCGTTCATACAAGTGCTTGAGGTAGAGGTACACTCACCAGCACCAGGACCACACTTTACACATGTGATACTCTCTACTGAAAGGAGATAAATATTGTTGAAAAAATAATTCAAGAATGAAAGCTGTCAAGTCATAGTTGATGTTTCCCATAGCCAGAGATCCCTGGGAATCAAAGTGCCATGACGCCTGCTCTTTGTGGGGCTGGATGGGTCTGGGGAGGCCCACATGGTCCACAGTTGCCCCCTAAGGGACTTTATTGCCATCCTCACCCTTCAGGTCTTTGGGAGAAAGGGGCAATTGCTCATTCTTACCCACAGTACTGAAAACAAAAGTGGCGAAGGCACAGACGATGAGGAGACCCTTTAAGCTGGAGGACAGGGACATGGTGGCTCCTTTGATATGCTGCAGAAGTGAGAATGGAGGAGAAAGGGATACAGTCAGGCCCAGGCTCCTACTATCACATGTGCTAGAAAGGTCTGGGCTGTTGCACTTCAAGGAAAGCACCCCCTTAGCTGAGGACACAAATCTCCCAGTTTTGAAGTCACCGTCCCACAAACAGCCAGCCATCCTGACACAGGTATTACCAACCCACCTTGCAAATGCTCACCTTCAAGTATTTTGGATCTTCTTGTGGAGGGACTGCCTCTGAGATGGAGAAGAAGGCTACTGTTCTCTGTTCTCGCCTAGAGAGGGAAGACTTAGAGAATGAGCAGAATCCTGAAGATGGACTCTGGCTACCCCTTCCTTTCACTTACTTTTATGGGACTGTATTTCCGGTGGCCTAATAATTAACCACTGCAGACCAATATCATCTTGACACAAGCACAAGTCAGTAGATTGCACTGGGCTAGGAAGGTTCTGCAAGAACACCTGTTCCTGACCCTCTGATCCCCTAGTAGAAAACTCTAGGGAAAAAGACTGTTGTGAGCTTAGCAAATAAGTCTGAAAAAAAAAAAAAGCGTTAAGAACAGCTTGTAATTCATAACTGCCTAGTCATATGTTCTTCAGCAACAATTTTTTTAACATTTATTTTTTTTATTGCATTTTAGGTTTTGGGGTACATGTGAAGAACATGCAAGATTGTTGCATAGGTACACACATGGCAGTGTGATTTCTTCAGCAACAATTTTAATGCTGGGTCTCGCATAGGTATTTATCAAGCACCAGCTACAAAAATGGACACACAAAATGCAACTGCTGTTGTAGCAGAGATGTTGACGGAACTAGAGATTGCTGTGGAAGACTCCAAACAATAAATCTCTTCTAGAATTAAGTGTCAGGGGGTGGGGGAACTGCCTCTCTTTCAAAGAAACAGCATGCTTCCTTTTTTGAATAATATGAGCTATGAACTCTTAGATAAAAGAGTTTTGGCCACCAGAAAGCTCAGAGTTGTATTTTATACATTATTTCTCTGATTGCCTCCTCCTGTCCTTGTATGTTGGTATGTTCATCTTTTTGAAGACTACTTGTCACCATTCAAAGGCCAGTCGAGATATTAGCAGTAAGCCCACTTGTGAAAGAACATGACTAGGAGAAAGTGGTCATCATGGTAGGGGGTGGAGGGAGTGGTTCGCAGCACCTTTGGGCCTCTTTTGTGAGCTGTAAAGAAGAGTCCAAAGTCTCAGTCCCTGGGTTCTGCGGGGATTAAAGAGACGGAATGTCTCTGGCCCACAGCCACTATCATTTTCCACCAGTTTCTCAGGGGTAATTCTCAGATCTCCTTCTCATGAGATCCATCCCTTCCGTTCTCCTCCCAGAATCAACTCTTATGACCTGCTTATATTTCTCTAGACAAGGAACTGGGAATCTCCCTCTGCCCCATTTTCCTTCTCCCTCTGTCTTTGTTTTCTTGCTAGTCTGTTGTTAGGGCATAAGCTCTATCCCAGGCTACTTGTTTGAAATGGGAGACAAGGGAGTTAAGATAAACACCTTTATAAGCAAACATTGAGAATTTATTACAACCTATGTCATTCTTCATTGGTATCTATGGACAAGTTAACATTTCTAGCCATAAAAGGCAATAAACCCTCCTGCCAGGCGCTAAAATGCTGATTGCACAGTCTGACAGTTCAGGATATTGTGGTTATTCTCTACAGTGCGCAGGGAGGAGCCTCCTGGTGTCTCCTTCAGCTGAGTGTTGAAGAAGAAGGTGTCAGTCCTGCAGGAGAGAAGCAACAGGGCTGTCCAGGTGCCTCTGAGGCCAAGGCATGGAGGAGCAGGAGAGGGACAGGACCTGGACAGAGGTGGAGGTCTGCAGGGTCTCACTGGAATCCCTGCTGAGGCACAGCATGGTACCAAGAAGTGACGCAGCAAACTTAGCAGGTTCTTGTTTATTGAACAATGTCGACTAAGAATTTCAGAGGAGACAGAAACAGAAGCTCAGAGAAGGCCACTGGACTCAGCAATCCCTCAGACACCATTAGGGTAGAAGAGGCCCTTCAAAAGTGTCAGGAAATGTCAGCTTCCATTCCAGACAGAACTCCGCTCAGGCCCCAGAAAATGACAGAGCCAGGGCTTGCTAGACACATTCCAGCATTCATTCTAAACATTCTGTTACCAACTCTCCTTTCAAAGAAGACGTATGGACTTCCCCAACCTAGGAAGGAATCCCAGACTCCCTGCCTTGTGGAACTTCATGAGCCATCTCCTCTACCACCAGCCTGTCCCACCCCACCTGCCTGAAAATTCATCATGCCAGGGGTTGGAGGAAAAGCCTGCAAAAATCCTGCAAAGTCATGGCGTGAGAACTCAGGAGAGGTCAGGGCTCTGCTGCTTTTCCTTCTTGAAGGCAAGTTTTCAGGAAATGGCAAAGATGTATTTCACATTCTGAAATTCAGGTTTCATTTTCTATAACCTTAAGCCAACCCAAGCAGAGACAAATACATGTGATGCCCAACCAAGGACAACATGCAGCCCAACTTTCTCCTGTTCAACCGCCATCAAAACCTGAAGATAACAGAGAAAACCCTTGTCTCTTGCTCTCTTTAAAAAGAGGGAAAAGATCACTTTGCCTGGAGAGGGGCTGGTTGTGTGCAGTGGGAAGAGGCTTTGGAGTGAGGCCTGTCTCTAGCTCTGCCACAGAGCACTGTGTGAACCTGGACACGCTGTCCCACTAGTCTGAGCCTCGGTTTCAGGAGAGTGCAGGGAAGATGGCAGTGCCTAATTCTCAGGGTGGGAGTGGAGACCTTGCACGCCTGTCGCAGTGCAGGCACGTAGCAGTGGACTTCCCTTGTCCATGTTAGCAACATGTGAGCAAAAATCAGCCACAGTTTGTGGTTGGTGTAGCAAGGTCAGTGGGGCCAGTCAACCTGTTGGAATGCTCTGCAGATGCCAACATGGACGTGAAATGGGAGCAAAAATATAAAACGAGTGCACATCTTGTGTTTTTCTTCCACCACCTCAACTAAGGAGACATCTCACAAGGTGACCAGATGCCCAGAAGCCGCCAGAGGCTTGGATCCCCAGATTGGAGACTCCCCACAGAGCCCTGTGTGTGCTTGTGTAGAAAGAAAGATAGCATCTTCATTTTTACTAACTTCTATCTGAAATGTAGCCTTTCCTTCCATAAAAATGGAGCCCACAAACCATAGCAAAGCCACCCACCAGTAGTCACCATTGAGGTTTTCTTATGACGTGGCCTCCTTAGATAACTGAAAGTATCCTTGGCCTTCATCAGCTGCTCTGCATTATCTCCTTATCAGTCCCACTGATAGGTCTTGGTATCTAGTACTATTCCACATGCTGAGAAGGGGTTCATAGGGTCCACAGCCTGCCGCAGCCCCATGCCACAGACATGGTTTCTACTGAAAATAGCAAAATCAGCATCTCCCTCCCAAAACAGTGCTCTGCCCCCATGCCCATGCAAGAAGCATGGTCCAAGGTGATACATTTTACGGTTCTTTCTTTCCTTGGCCAGTTAAACTTCCCTTTTTTCTAGTATCACTTACCTTTGAATTCTGACCAGCTGAGGTGGCTAGAAATAAGGATAGTTTCTGGCAGACAAATGTCAGGCCAGGAGGCCGGACTTACAGTGTAGTCTTGGTTAAACATTTACTAGTTAAATCCACCAACCTGCTGCAATGCCGTGATGCTGGATGCCTACCTGGGCTGGCTGTCAGTGTGGCCTGGAGTGTAGGGAACCAGTCCCCACACCCCACCAGTGGGTACCCCGAGTTCTGTGGCGACAAAAATGAGAAAAAGATTAAGAATCAAAGTGGGATCAGGGGACCATCACTTATACTGGAGGAGTGAAGGCCCCGAGCTTAGGTTCCCACAGTATTTGTTGGTTACAATGACTCTGAGCAGTCAGCAGATGGTGGGGTGAAGCTGAGGTGATGGTGGGGAGGGGGTGGTGTGACGGTGGAGCATTCGTCAGTGAACAGGAACTGGCACGTCATTCTAAAGACTGCTGGCAGTGGCGGCTTTGTGGGAAACTTTGAAAAGCAGAAGCACATGGTTATTATCTATAGATTGCATTCTAGGCGCAGCTGGAGGGAGTGAGTCTCACAAGGAGCCTACAAGTCTGGTTACTTTGTGATGCTACAAAAGGGGTGCTAAGTCCCTGAGCATGTGACGCACCGTGGCAGAGTCAAGGCCACTCTGCACCGGGAACATGAGGCTTAGGGCAGTCTGCCTCCCCACGGCCTGCACAGTTTGCCGCTGTTCCCAGCACTTGTAACCATTTTTTGTGGGCACTCTGTAAGCCCTTCCTCCATTGCCATTTCCCCCAACACTGGAGCCCGAAGTGCAGGCCCGGGTCAGAGTGGAGGGACAGTCAGGCAGAATGAACAATTTTGCAGATGCTGGTCGAAAGCCAGGGTCTCCATCACTCACATCACATGGAGAACAGAATGTCACAGATATTAAATTTGGGACAGTCCAACTCCGTGCCAACTTCCTACTTCCCCAAACAGACCCTGAGCAAATTCTCTGTGGCCCAGTGAGCACAGGCCTGGGCTTACCTGTTGTTACTGTGGTGAAGCTGCCAGCAGCCCACCCGGGGACGCCACTCCGGGAGAAAAGCAGAGTCCAAGACACTTATGGGGAACGCGGGTACGCACCGTCTGTGAATTATCGCCTCCCACGCCTTCTGGCTTCAGAGCCATCCCACAGATCTCCCTGTGGGTGTCCCGCTCTCTCCGGGCAGCTGAGATCATTCTTGGAAGCAGAAGCGACATTCTTCTCCATGTTCCAGATGAAAGCCCTCCCTGCGGGCGCTGCGGCCTCCCTCCCGTCAACCCAGCTCCTGGGTTTGGTTCTGAGAGTGGCACCCTCCCTGTTCTCCCAGTGACTCACAAAGATTTTCTGCTTGACCAAATTCTACTTTAGGTTCTCTCTGAGCTCTCTGCTCAACTAGGCCCTGACTTTTGGGCTTCCGTATTTGGTTCTGCCTTGTCCAGTTTCAGCAAGAATCCCACAAAGTCCATTTAACCACCTTCAATATCTGATCACACTTGATATCTGATCAGATCCCTCATTCTCTGTCACCCCCAAGGTGATGTCTATCTTCAGCAAGAATCTTGTTTGCCTCTGCCAGAATCCCCTTTACACAATGTTTCTTCTTAGCAATTTTCCAGCCACTGACTCCCAGCCTTCTCTTTGGCTATTAACACCCATTTTCCGATGTTGAATTTGGAGTTGAGCCCTGCGCCCCTTCCCCGCTGCAGGAGCCTGTTGTGGTGGTCCCTACACCTGCTGCCATGGCCTCCCTTGAATAAAGTCTTTCTTACCATCTTCAATAACGCTGAATACTTTTTTTCTCTAACACC